TCTCTATGATGGACATGGGAGACTTCTCTACCCTTTCACTCACAGCTGCAGTCCCTGATGGTATCTACTAATCCCTATTCCCAGGATCCCCACAGCTTCTGACAATCCACTTCCCTCAACTTCCGGCTGAAGAGCAAGGGGAATTTTTCCATTCTAAAGGAGCTTCTTGGGAAATTGTGAGGTCATCCAGGCCACAATATTTCAGAAAGGGCTGAAACAAAGAACATTCAATTACTTCCTTCTGGTATTCTCTCTATGTAGAAGTAACCCAAGCAAGCTACTAAAACATGTATTTATTCGACTGTTATCATTGTTAATATGAAAGAATCCTGGATCTTTGGGGTGCATGGCAGGCTCCCGAGGCTGCATCGGTGAGACCCCATATGAGAACCCTACTGGATGAACTGGACTCTACTTAAGACACACTTGTACCCTGAGGACTTAAGCTGGAAAACACTTGCTGTCTAAGGAAGCAGAAGACAGCGGCACCAAGAATCTAGTTGGCAGACAAACAAGGTCTGACTACATCAATACCCTGTATGCTGTATTAAGATATGTAATATTCTGGCAATCATCCAAAAGCCATTCTGTTATATTATGCTTATGCATATTTATATTAGGGAGTATCTCAGAGGTTCACCACCATTGGATGTACCCCCCTTGAAGCTGTGTTACTGGTTACTCTGTTTTCTGAAAAATAAAACCCAGGCAAGTTTAGCTTATAAGGAAAGAAAATATAGCAAGGGGCTGGGGAGAGGGGCATTATAGAGGGGTGGAGGAAATAAAAAGGAGATGATGCCAAGAATTCCAGGAAGGAAAGTATGTTTGGAGACTGATTATGAAAGCAATTGTACAATCATGTTTGAAAGGATTGAACTATGGAAGGATATGACATATGTATTAACTCCCAAGTTACAGCAAATTAAAAAAGAAAACATAGATCCAGGCATGGGTTTGGGGCACCATTAAATCTTAGCTCTAATTAAAAATGGTTAGTTCTTACATCATGGCCCTGATTGATACACACCTTCATGAAAGATCACTGAAGATAAGGATGCTACAACAGAGTGTGGTGAAGAAATTAGATGTTGCCCAGCTATCAATCCGAATAGTGTCTGGGCGTGTATTCAAACAAGCAGCCACCTAAATGAGGAGTCAACTAAGTCCACATGCAAGAAGCACACCATTTTGAGTGCTCCAAAGCTGATACTTACAATATTTGAGTATAGTGAAGAGATAGGTATCACAGCTAAAGTTATGAACACCCAATTTGTAGAAGGCTTTGGAGGACAGTGAGATCCCAAAAACCATCTGCTGAATACCTAGTCAGACTGAGCCACTGGCTGATCCATTCTAGCCAAAGGTAAGAGTCTCAAACTGCCTTACTATCAGGCACAGACCATTATAATCTTGATCATGTTGACCACCCTACAGAGATTAACTGAATTTATAGTGGGGGCAAGTAACTGTCAATTGTTCCATGAAAGAAATCT